TCAGCTTTTTCTTTTTTTGCTTTTCATAGTAGGATTTTACGTAGATGACATACGAAGGTCGTTTCTTTCTCTTTTTTCTTTTATATTTTTCTTTTTTTAAATGGAAACATTTCATTACGTAAATCGATCAAGCTCGTAATTCTATATGTAAAAAAAATATAGTATTAACATATTTATATCGGAGAACCATTAATTTAGGGGATATCTTAATTTCGACATTACTAAACAACCAAATGTATAAATTTAGTAAAACTTCATAAGAGTGTAAGTAGAAGTAAGAAAGTAATGGGGGTTTTTTAGCAATATTTAAATTACATTATCTCCTAAATTTAATCACTTATTGAAATACACGAGTTAATACTTTTTTACTCTTTTTATAGAAAACATTTAACTGCATCGTCAAATCGATAAAAAAACATTATTCCATTTAAAAAATTAAATAAAAAAAACAATAAAAACAAAAAAATAAAAAAATAAAAAAATAAAAATAAAATAAAAACAGAACATACCTTACTCAAAGCAATTCAACTTTTATTTGAAACATTTTTCTTTTTTATCATTATTTATACAGTAATCAAAGTCGTTCCTGTACCGCCCTACATGAGAGAGAGGAGGGGAGAGAGAGAAAGATATTTATATCCTTCTTTGGTGTCCATGAAAAGGCACGCGTAGACTATTCCAGCCTCAAAGTATTACTCGTTCGAAACGAAGTTACATAAAAGAGTTGAAGTCAGATTGCGCGCAAATAAAGATTGGAATTTCATTTCAAAGCCGATTTTCTAAGTAAACCGGCTATTTTTATTCAACGATGTCGCATCGAACATCGCCCGTCCGGTTCATGAGCAATCGTAGCACGTATTTTACCTATATCCATATGTGTATGTGTGTGTATGAATACATGTGAATGTATGTGTGTAACTACGTATGTATAAATGTGCGTAAGTTGAACGATAAAAGGAATTTATTGTCCTTTATTTTTATTGATTTTTATTTAGAACAAAAATTTGTCGTTAAATTATTCATATAATAAAATTAATTTAAGTTATAAATTATCTTTTATATTTGATAAATAATAATCAAAATAATAATCATTTCGTCATTTTACAAATCCTTATATATTTAACAAAAGTGTATGTGTGGGTTATTTTTAATGACAAATATAAAAATAAAATATTAATTGATTTAATCATAATTTTACAAGTTTAATTAAAAATGAAATATAATACTGATTTATATAGTTCTGTTAAGAAATATTAATAAATTTTACGTATTTATGTATATGTAATTATCAGTAATGATAAGTTCTAATAATAAAAGTAAAATATCAATTAATATTTTTCATAATTTGTGCAATTTCTTAGAAATGAAATAATATTAATTTATTCAATTTTAGTTAAAATGAATGTTAATAATTGACACATATATAAATACAAACATGTAGATGTGTTAATATTAAACTCAAAATGATAAAATATTTCTTAATAATTTCTTAATTCCTAGAAAAATATATGTACATGTATGTACATTATAATAAAAAGAACGCACGCGCGTTTCTGTATATATGTGTTACATATATATGCATGTATCATAATAAATAGAAAAATCAAGGAGTACCTGACATTCAACACAAGCATACATACGTGTATAGTGGGGAAAGCAAGAAATTTGTCTCGACATATTTCATAGGGAGTAAGTAATAAAAGATATGCAAAGAAGGTAGAAAAGAAATGGTAAAGAAATGGCGTTGTAAAACGTGCAATAATAATACCACAACGTTATACTTCCTTCTTCTTCCTCTTTATACATATATATATATATCTCCCCCCCCTCTCGCTCACCTAGTCAACGTCCATGAGAGTCTCACAAAGTACTTTTCGCAATCTGAATTTCATTCACGACACCAGCCAACGTAGTAATTCTCGGAAGCTTTCAAAAACTATATATATATATATATATATATATATATATATATATATATATTTCCTGTCTCTAGTTTATTCTAAAGAATTCATACAGTAGGAATGTATTTCCATATTCCTCCTGTACGAATACTACAGTCTCCTCCGTGCTCTTTCTTTATATATATTAAAAGAGAATATGAAAAATATGAGAAGATGAATTTTTCTCAAAGAAATATCTATATTATATAATATTATATATAATATTTTATATATATATATATATATATATATATATATATATATATACACACATTAGTATACAATAGTATATATACATTAACATATATTATATATATATATATACATATAGTATAATATATATATATATATATATATATATATATATAATATTATATTTATAAAAGAATATATTCATTATATAATGTTATATTCTAGTATTTGATTTTATTATACTAGTATATAACACACACACGCGCACGCACGCACGCACGCACACACACACTCACAAACACACACACACACACACACAGAGAGAGAGAGAGAGAGAGAGAGAGAGAGAGAGAGAGAGAGAGAGAGAGAGAGAGAGAGAGAGAGAGAGAAAGTTACTTTGCAAATGATGTTCAAGCATTAATGCACCTGTCCCTGCATACACCTGTCCTCGTTTCTGTCCTTGTCCCTATTGCTATCCTGTCCGTCGATGACTTTGAATTAAATGCCGTTCAAACGTGAGTTCCATAAGTTATTCGAAAAAGAAAAGAGAAAGGACAGTGATAGGGGGAAAGAGGGAGGGTGGGGGGAGATGAACAAAGTACTCTTACACGAATGAGTGTATGCGTATAGGTGAATGAGAAGGACTATGCTGCTTTTTCGCGTTGAAGAAACCCCCCGATGCACCCGCTAACCCCATCTCCCACGCTAACTCTTTTGTTCAATATGAATGGAGATTTTGAAGTCACCAAGAGTCAAGATGGCCTTCTCAAAGAGATACAAACCAGACGTACTCGAAATTAAGGATGAAGTAGAGTAACACAATACGAGCTATGATGTTGACTCCTTTACGAAACACACAGAAGAAAGAGTAAATTCCTGTTAAGGATAATAAATGAAGCGAAAATAAAATGGAAAAAGAAGAAAAAAATACTAAACAAATAATCGGAAATATCCGTCTTAATATTAAGTAATTGTAATGTATTTTTTTTTTAATCACATTTCTCAGAGACCACCATGATGGAAGAAAAGAAAAGTAAAAAAAAATATAATAATAATTAAATTAATATAATCGAAGAAATAGTTTTACTGAAAAGTAATTGTAATATATTCTTTTTAAATCTCCCACAAGTTTCTCTGAAACAATATATCATAATAATAATACAACATGCAACTAAGAATAAAAAAATAAATAAATAAATAAATGATTAAGTTGAATTAAATTAAATAAATAACGGAAGAAATAATTTTACCAAAAAATAATCGTAACATTTTTTTTTTAATTTTCCGCCAGTTTTTACCATAAATGTGACTGCGCGTAACTAGAATACATAAAAAGAAACAAATAAAAAAAATTAATCAATTAATTAAATAAATAATTATATAAAATCAAAAAAATTAAACCAAACTAAATAATCGAAAAAATACGAGGTTTTTTCGAAAAGCAAAAGTAAGAGTACTTTTTCAAATTTCTCCTTAATTTTCTGAGGGCCATTTTGAAATCGCTCGATGACACCATGAAAAATTAAAATTATATTTTACTATAGAGACCATTATACTTTTCTTATTGAGAAAATAATGTAATATGAAAATAATGTAAATGAAGCTCACGTGCTTATACAAAATATAAAACCAATTTTGATCGTTCGCATTTATGTAAGATAACTTCCTACATTTTTCTACGTTAAATTTTACTATCCGATTATGCCATTCTTCTTACTATTAATCTATATCAAAAACTTTTCTATGAAGCTTTAACGTTTGTAAAATTACGATCAATGTCGAAAGTCCATAATCAACAATATTAACTTGCGTGATTTATTAAATCCTAATAGTGTATTTTTTGATAAAATTAAAAAAAATGTATTTATTAAAATGTAATGTTGAAAGAGCTTGGATTGATTTAATGTAAAAAATTTTTAACATTTTATGTCTGTAAATAAATTATACACCATATATGAAGTATTTTTTTTATGAAAACATCTCGATATTGTTTATTATCAACTGATCTCGATATTAGCCAATCGAATATATTTGAACATATAATTTTCGAACATATTTATTGTTATTTAATTTAGATATAAAATATTAATAATTTGTATATTACCCTACTTAGTATTAAACTCTCTTATTGCAATGTTACTTTATATATAGAATATTAAAAAAAATTTGTTTTTTAATATATTATTCGATAGTCAAATTAACATTATACTTTTTGCGGTTTAATTTAAATATAAAATACTGACAATTTCATGATACTATTTATTGATCAACATAATATTATAATTATTGTTATATTAATTCAGATATAAAATATTAAAGATTTCGATATTAGCCAATCCAGTATTATACTTATTGTTGTATTAATTTAGATAAGAAATATTGACAATTTTTTGGTATTATTTATTGACCAACGTAATATTATAGTTATTACTGTGTTAATTTAGATATAAAATACTAAACATTTTTATATTAACCAATCTAGTTTTATCATAACTATTATTATTATTTTTTATTATTATTATTATTATATTATTATTATATTAATATAAATAGAAAATATTTAAAAATTCAAATATTATTTATCGCTCAATACAATATTATGTATTATAGTACATTATTATATTAATTCAAAATTAAAACAAATTCTTACATTATATATATATATCTGCTGTACATTGTGTGTGTGTGTGTGTGTGTGTATATATGTATTTAATGTATTAGCATTAAATGTATATAAGATTTAAATATAAATACTGTTGCATTAATATAAAAATAAAATATTGGAAAATTTCAATATTATTTATTTTTAATAAATCATTGTCTATATAATATTACTGTCTGTAGTTTAAGATGTTTAATGTTACTCACCAATAATGATGTTTGCCGCTGTAATCTTCGGGACAGATCAGCAGTGAGGCCTGCACAGATAAGAGATAACGTGTCGTTTTAGTCACTTTCTCTCTCTCTCCCTCTCCCCCCTCCCTCTATCTATCTATCTATCTATCTATCTATCTACCTCTATTTCTCCTTCTCTCGAACAATATCATCAAATCGTCATCAACAATTGATACATATTTCTTTCAATAGAACGAATCTCCCACCCAAAATCATGGTTAACGTAAAAATCGATTAATCAAGGTTTACGTAAAAATGAGTATGAAAAAAGAACTAACTTTTCTTTGTTCTATCTATCTATTCATCTACTTATTTACCTATCTTTCTATCTCGATCTATCTATTATTCTTATATGTCTTCATGAAACGACACGTAACGGGTCAAGAGCCAAATACTTTCGAAATTACGATCGATTCGAAAACTTAGGCTTCACAAGACACTCCTTTTTCTCGACAAAAATTTTCCATCAAAAGAAAAAAAAAGAAAAAATGAATAAATAAAATCGATCAGACAAAACGAACAAATGTTAATTCTAATTGAACAAATGTTAATAAACTGACAATAAGTAAACAAAATTTAAGTTAAACTGATTTGTAATATTTAAAAGTTTACTTTTATTTTTACATGTTAAAATATGTTTCACTTGAAGAACGAAATTTATATATTTATAAAAAAAAAAAAAAAAAAAAAAAAAAAAAAAAAAAAAAAAAAAAAAAAAAAAAAAAAAAAAAAAAAAAAATTGAATTGATATGATTAGTGATAATTTCTTTTTTACTCTTTATTTTCTATTTTTTCACATTAAGATGAGTTTCACTTTAAGAATGAAATTTATTTACATTATAAAAAAAATTAAGAAAAAAAATCAAAATGAAAACAAAAAAAAAAATTCGTCAACATTTTAAAACGGTGTTCTAATTAGAACAGATATTATACATAGAATGAATTATATTAAAGAAATTAGAATAAATAATATACAAATTGCATAGAAAAACAAACAAACGAACGAAAAAAGAATATATTAAACGGTGTAATCAAACAAGTCTTACTTAAAAAATTTTCAAATTTTTCAAATTCTTTGGACGTTTCTAAAGTAAAACATTAGATTTACCAAGCACAAAAGAGATTCAGATTCTTATCTTGTGGTCCAGCAGTACAACGGAACGAATGACTCTAAGCAATAAGGAAATCATGAAAGGCTCTGAATAAGCGTGATATTATCGGAATCGATTCGACTTGATTCTGCCGTACGGAATAACAACACAACACATAACATACACACATGTACGTAAACACATACATAGATGCACACATATGTATATAACGCGACATATCTATAGGGTGGTCAACAGAAGTTCTTGGACTACTTTAAAGGTCGATCACTATTTTTCGTGATAATTTAGATAAAAAATTTCCTTTTCTCTTTCAGATTGTTAATACAATGCCGCACACTTTTAATTTGATCGTGCCCAGAAACACTTTTTTTTTCTAATTGTTTATGACTGTCATATGAAATTGAGCGTTAGTCGTCATATACAAGACGGCTATAGCCGTCATTTGGCTATATATCGCCAAAAATCGGGCGGCTACAGCAGTCATTTGCGGCAACGTGTTAAAATACTAGAAATTTGTTCGCAATTTAAGAAAAAAAAGGAAAAGAAAAAAAGGAGAACAACAAACGATCAATCACTTTTTTTCGTAACAATTTAGACACAAAATTTCTTCTTCTGTTTCAGATTGTTAAGCTATCAAACTAGGAATTTGTTTATAATATGAAAAAAAAAGGAAATCCAAACGATCTTGAAAAATAGTAATCGATTCTTAAAATCATCTAGAAACTTTGGATCCGCTCTGTATAATAATTGACCAAATGGGCATGCATATGTCTGTCAGTGTGTGTATGTGTACATAGAGGTCACACAACCGGTTATCAAGTAAAATATATCCTGATATTAATATCAACCTGAATCTTATCAAAATATATAACAAACAAAAAGAAAAGAAAGCAAAAGAAGACGAAACATTAAAAAAGAAACACAAACAAGTATGAATTAAGCTTACAATAAATTATATAAAAAAGTAAGAATAAAATGATAAAAACAATTTCTCTCTCTCCCCTCCCTCCCTTCCTCCCTCTTCCCCCACTCTCTCTCCTTATTCAAAATAGGTTAGGAACTTAGAAGTAATAAACAAAAGTGATCACTGGTTATTAATTATAATAGCAACAACCATAATCGTTCACTTATTATTAATTTATCTCTTCGTCATTCTACCTCCCACCCTTCCAAAAAAAAAGAAAAAATATTTACATCAATCTAAAATCGAAACAATTTACACATAAAAGAAAATTCTCTATTTCTCTCATACTCCCACTTTTTGCAATAACCAAACGATAGTTCCAGAATGTGAAATAAATAAGGAAAAAAACGTTCACTGATATGATATATATAACAACAGTCATTTGCTATGTAATTATCACAATAACAACAACAACAACAACAACATAATATAAATAAAGAAAAATAAAACAAAGTATCTTCACTAAAACAAATAGTAAAAAGAATATATCTCACTCTTCTCACTTTTCACTCCACCCTCTTCCTATATCTCTATCAATCTCTCCCTCCTCTTTCTCTCTCTCTCTCTCTCTCTCTCTTTCTCTCTTTGTTTCTCTGTTTTCTGTTAAAAGTAATGAGAAGTATAATGCGTGCGTTGAATATCACGGTCTGCTAGGAGAAAGACTGACACTAGAGACGCAGAACACGAGTAAACTTTACGAACTTAGCAGCGACTCCTTCTTTGAACGAGGCTAGCAAGCAAGCTAGCCTTGCCTTGCCTTGCCCCCCCCTCTCTCTCTCTTTCTCTACTCTTCTCACTCCCTCTCTTTCATTTTCTCTCGCTCTTCCTCTCTCTTACTCTTACTACATGTCTTCGCTGAAGGAAGAAGAAGAGATAGAGAAGGAAGAAGAGAAGGAGGAAGAGGAGGATGAGGAGGAGGAAGAGGAGGTGGTGGAGGAAGAAGTTGGTGGGGCAGTTCGCGAGGAGGGATTTCAGGATGATGGAGTGGTATGGAGAGTGAAAAGTAGAGGGGAAGGAAAAGGAGGGAACGGGGGAGGAGGTTGCACGCGTATGCGTGAATGCACTCTTGGCGAACGGACTCTCTTTGCTGTGTAACGAAATACGAATATTCTCTCCCCCTTATCTATCTTTCTATCTCTCTATATTTCTCTGCTTGTCCCTATCCATCCATCTCCGTCTTTCTTATTTTATTCAAAGATAGAATAACATAGACAAGTCAATGAACGACGACTTTAGTAATAGCCAGGATTTGAAGTACCCAAGAATATTTCGTGGTTACGAGATACCAATACAGAAAATTAGTTTTGTTTTCAAAGTACGCAATAGTATGTTCCTATCTATCTTTACGTATATATAGTGTGTGCACATGTATATGGGTAGGTAATTTGGTGGATTATATAGAGTGAAATATGTATAGAGAAATGCATGAAACGTTTTTGAATATGTTATTAAATGTATTTTAACATGTATTTGAAGCATACAATTGTATGTATATTCATACTCATTTTCCATTTAAACAATGGAATGTACCAAGTGTTTATATGTATACTGTGCTGTAAGTGTGTGTATGTTTGGGAAGAGTTTATATATGTATATGTACGAAATCTTTTGCATGTTTGTATATATCAATGTGGGTATAATTAAGAATGTGTAATAAACTATAGTACGGATATGAGTTACTGTACGAATTAGTTGTGTGTGTCGCGTACAACGCACACGTGCGCACGCGATTCTGTGACTGTGTAATATACTGAATTGGATGTGTATATGTATGGAAATATATGAAATCTTTTGCATAATTGTATATATCAATGTAAATATAACTGTGAATGTATACATACACATACACGCACACACAAGAGTACTTTATGTGTATTACATACAATTGTACTTATTGTGCATACATACAACATAGCGCACATTAAAGTGTATGTTAAGTGTATATATGTAAGATATAACGACATATGAAGCGTTTTATATATGACTATGATAGTGTCCATATATATATATGATGTGTAAAATATAATGGAAAGTGTAAATGTGTCTAATATGAAGTTTTTTATAAATAAATAATAAGATGGTATATATACATGTTTCGTGACTGTGTTATGCATGTGCATCCGCACTCGCGCATATGTGTGTGTATTGGACGAGACAGGAAAATTTTCGAGTACTCCAACACTTGGAATTTGTGCTGATGGTGGAATGCAAAATTGAAGTGGAGAAATTGTACTTCTCTTGTTCCGGTATTTGCCAACAAATTAGGACGAATGGCTTTTTTCGAGCAGCTTATCTGTGGTTTTTTTTTTTTTTTTTTTTTTTTTTTTTTAGAATCTATTCAAGATTAAAGTTTCGATTTTGTTTAAATGAGTTCTTCAATATTTTATATAGGTAAGTATGGGGAGCATATAGTAAATAAAAAAGAACAGGAGATGGAGAGAAGAAGGACAAATATATTAAAGTTAGGAGAGAAATATATATATATATATTATTTTATTGAATAAAATATTTGCAAATATTCCTTCTTTTGTTATTAATAAAAATGGTAGTAAAACGTAAATCCTCCATCTTTTTCTATTTATTTTTAATTTGACATCGTAGCACTTTCTATCCGTAAATTTATGATACATTTCAATCATTTTTTTCTTTTTTCTTTATAAATACGTTTGTACTTATTATAAATATATAATAAAAATAAATAAAAATATATATAAAGATTTTACAAAATTTCATTAAGTATCTTAAACGTTAAAAAACAAAATTAACACAAAACAAGAAGTAAAATAACATAAATAAAATAGAAAAAAGAAAAAGAAATATGACAAAAAATATTTCGAATAATGTACTTCAAGTAAAATATATCAAGTAATAATTCTGACAAATCTTTTTAGCTTAAATATATAATATGTAATGGACGTTAGTATAAATTAAAATTTGTCATCTCAAAGAACTACTAATATAAAAAGAAAAAAAATTTTTGGTCTGGCACGAACTATCTAGAAGAAGCAGACGAAGGTTTACGAGCGTTTGAAAGAAATCCAGTGGTAGCTCCAGGGGCTGTTCTTAACCCTCATTGAAAATTCTGAAGGGACAAGAAACCTGGAAAATTGTTCCTCGACGTTAAGCGTCTCACGATAAGAGAGAAAGAGAAGTGGAGGAAGGTGGACACATGAGAAAGAATAAGAGAGAGAAAGAAAGATAGAAAGAAATAAAGAAAGAAAGAGAGATAGAAAAAAACGTTTCCTTTGAAAAGAGGGAGAAATTCAAAAGACTCGTTTTGAAGTATATATATATATATATATATATATATATATATATATATATATATATATATATAATAGGTATAGTAATAAATATATATATAGTAATATATAGATAGTTACAACGATGAGACTAAAAGAACACATTTGAAATGTTCCGATGGATTTTGCGCTTAAAAATTTTATTATCGAATAATTAGAAGTTATTTTCAATAATTTTTAATGGAATATACCAAATGGACACCAAAACTTTTAAATAATTTAGATTTCAAAAATTGGTTACAGTTATTTAAAAAATTTTCAGACTGATTTTATTCCGGATCGTGGATAAATTCTCAGGCTTAACATTTTTTAGTTTTACAATCTTTAAAAAAAAAGAATTTGTTTAAAAAATCTCGAAAAAAAAGTAATTGATATTTAAAATCACTTAAAAATTTTCGGCTCCGACTCCATATTTTCATACTTAATTCTTTATTTGTTGAATTATCAAACAATCGTTATTTTCTTAATCTCAAATTTTCGAAAAGATCGTAAATATAAATTCCTAAATTTAAACCTGTCCATCATAAAATCTTAAATTAATTACTAAGTCGTACTAAATTTTTGTAATAAATTTGCGAAATGATGAATTTTGTATTGATCATTGTAATGTGACATATGATTCGCAATTTGTTTACGTCAATATTTCTATGCCATAATCAAAAATCAATCGAAGAAGTATCACTCTAAGTTTTCGAATTCGAATTCTTTGAATTTTTTTTATTTTCCAATTTCTTTTTATCCTGATTTGTTGAAATGAAACATGATTAAAATTAGTTCAGACGCAAGCACTTAAAAAAAATAAAAAATATATCCGATTATCTTAAAAAACATATTAAAAATTTCAATCACGTTCTAAATGACGAAATTCTTGAAATCATTTACACAAATTTAATTCCTACAAATATGACAAATAAAATAAAAAACAATGGGCCAACTAAAATTACAAAACAAATATCAAATTTTATCCAATTAAATAAAAAAAAGCAAAAACAAAAAAACAATGAATGAGCTAATTACAAAACTCATCCTGTATTAAAACCACAGTCCAAAAAAACGAAAAAAATCCCCAATACTTTTATATCCACATAAAAAAAAAATAAATAAATAAATAAATTCTCAAAATAACAAAAATCTATATCAACGATAAAGCAATCAAACTCTTTTATCAATTCTTAAAAAAAAAAAAAAATTCCAATTTTTCCCAAAATCAATCTTGAAGAAAACGCAAACTCGAAAATAATTAGACATTATCAAATATAAATATTAATGAAAATACCAACCTAAATATGTAATTCCAAAACTCCTTTCCTCCAAAAATTTCTTGAACGAGTCAATTCCAATTTCCGAAAAATCAAAATGCAATCAATAATCGAGGAACAAGATTAAAGTTCATCAGAAAAAACCGTAGTAGCTAATAAGTGATGATCTAACTATCGATTCATGGTTTACCGCATACAACGTTTAACTACTATCTACTAATGTAGAAAAAGGACGAAGAGGAGGAACTAGACGAAGACACTGTAACATTTACGCGTTAAGTGATGAATACCGATGCATCGTGCTTGAAATTCGCGACTTGGAGGCACTTCCTACGTGAACGAGGCCATCGCCGAAGACTTTGAAAAGGAGGATGAGTTGACCAAGAAAAAAAGGAGAAAGAGGAGAAGAAGAAAGACGAGGAGGAAGGAGGAGGACGAGATGAGAAATGAGGAATAAAACGAGGAATGATTGTAAAGTAGGGTCAATAATGATTCCAAGAATAATTAGGATCATCCCCGCATGTTTTGAAAATATTCGAAATACAATTTAAATAATGATGGTGAGGATGGAAGGGAGGAGGAGAGAGAAGGAGGAGGAAATGGTGGTGATGACTGCTACAAGATAAAATATCTAAAAAAAGGATAAATTTAAGGATTAAGATAATAATAAAGCTGACAGGTACGATGCCGGCAATAACAACGATAACGACAACGACGACGACGACGACGACGACGGCGACGTTGAGACGACGTTTAACGTTTAACACGATGCGTGACATGCGTGTCGCGCGCGTATGACGTGGCGTGTGTGCGGAAGTATATCGATCAGCTGATGGTCGGGTGGATACTGGACTGCTTCGCAGAATTCACCATATTGTTGCGTCACCGCGCGTGCGCTCTATCTATCTCTCTCAACATACCTACCCCCTCGTCGAACCTCGGAACAACTTCCTTTCTTTTTTACTCTTTACCCTCAAGTCTATCCCTTCCTATCTTCTATCATATATGTAGATATCTATTATATATGTATGTATGTATGTATCTGTATGTTCGAGATGTTTTCTTTTCTCTATTTGTGTTTTTTGTAAAATGTAATAGCTATATACTAAAGATTAAGTCTATCTTCTCTGTATGA